ATCTTAGTTTTGAAGAGCAGCATATTATATTCTTGAGCTTTCGTATTGAAGGCCTGTAAAAACCTTAGCAGATCATCTTCGGTTTCAGCTATGAGTATAACATCGTCCGCGTAGCACAAAATTTTGATGTCATAAATCCCCCCATCCTGTATCCATTTGCTGTTTTTTACTGCATCCGTGATTCTGTCCATGATCGTGTTCAAAAACAGGGAACTGAAGTTGTCTCCTTGTCGAATATCCAGTGCAGTCGAATATCAAGTTGCATTTTTCCCTTATGAATTTTCTATTCACCCTAGTTTTTATGGTATTGCTGCTGTTGAGATTTTCAATAACTTTGATAAAGTTACGAGGGATGTTCTTTTTTCTCAATATATTGATGACATCTGTTGGTCTGATGGACATGCTGTTGGTCTGATTCTGCCAAACGCTTTTGTGAGGTCAATGTAGCAAATATAAACTGGTACGTTATATTCCAAAGATTTTTCTACTATTTGCCGTAAGATGAAAATTCCATCGGTTGTAGACCTGTTTTTTCGGAATCCTTGTTGTGCTTCATATAAGAGGATGTTAAGGCTGATCTCCGTAGCAAGGATACTTGATAGCTTAATTGTGAAGCTTAAGCGCGTTATTCCTCTATAGTTAGAGGAATCCTTTCGGTTTCCTTTTTTGAAAATCGATATGTTTGACGCCCTCTTCCATTATGATAATCCGGCAATTGATAATGTGTTAATGAGTGCTTGGAGTTCTTCATAAAATCCTATTGCTTGTGTTTCAGGTTTGCCGCTATCTAGGATATAGACTGACAAAATGTGTGCGGTTTCCCTTACATGTTCAGTCACTGTGAGTATCCCATCACTATTATATTCTATGTTTATGTTTGCTTCATATCTACCGTAAAAGAGAACACTAACCCCTGATGTTGCTGCCCCATTCTTGTCCTTCCTGTTATAGACTAGGATGTAATTGTCGCATAATTCCTCTGCCCCTTTTCTTGGTTTCGGATAAAGAGCATATATTGATGTAGATGTCTTCCATTTCCTGGATGATTTCTTGCTCTTTGTTGTTAAGTATGTGAACGTTCCGCAGGCTATACATAGTTGGTTCCTCCAGTTCCTTTTCCTTTTTCTTACCATGGTCGTTGTCCGTGTGATTCATCCATGTTCTGAGGCTTTAATTCCAGTGTTGTAAGCATTGTTCGGGAATATTTCAAGTAGGTTGCTAACCTCACCGGATGGATTTTATTATAGACCTTCTCTGGTCTAGATCTGATGTGTTCTACGAAAACAATGGCACCTCTGGTAGGATGTGGCTCTTCACCACGCACATCAGTCTTAAGTAGGCAGAAGCTTCGAACCCATAGGCATTGAGTTTTGCTATACCTACTCCTGGGGGCATGCCTCTTACCACTCCAATTTTCTCTACATTCTCTCTACATTTTCAAGGATATTAATCTTCTCATATAATAATTAAGAAAAAAAGTAATTAAGACTACTATAAAGATTTCGGTATTTCCATTGTTTCCAAAGATCGCACTGTTACTCGCCACCAAACATTACCGAAGGCCGCAAAAATATCGGAAGTCGTCATAAAGATGTAATTCAATGTAATATCAGCGCAGGATATCCCGTTAATGCATCAAGTTGGTATGAGGGATCAATAAAGCTTCGCCGTGGAGTCATTTATCCTTTGATGAAGTCTACGAATCTTCACCATTAGCCTCAACTTAGTATGTACATCTGACGCCACCTTCAACTCAGCAGAGAATATAGAGCAGAGCTTCGACGCGATAACTGCAAGAAGCAGCTGTTAAGGATAAATATCCATACTCCTTGTAATTTGTTTGAAATGTAATGTGAAAGTCTGCACATGTATTTCAAAAGTCTTGTCGTGCAAGTGAATGAATAATCAAGTTCTAGAATAGTCTAACAAATAATTGGTTTCTTCAAGTTCACAAAGAAGTTTTCTTCAAGATATAGGTTGAGGAGGGTTACATATCATGGGATGTGAGCACCACCTTATCCACTCATAATATATTGTCATAATATTTATAAACAATTCCCCATTGTCCCACGTTTTTCTCTGCTTTCCGACAAACTTCTGTTAACTACTGAGCTTGAGATTTTTATCTCCGTAATATATAATCGCAAAGACAAGTAAGTACTACTTGTCTTCGTGAATATTTACCAAGTTTAATAATTCATCAAGTCGAGCCATTCTTTCCTTGTTAGTAGCTCCGTCACATCCTATGGACGTTTTTTTCCGTGATTGTTTCTAAACATTGCCTCCGCAAATGTATCAGTGAGGATACGCATCAAAGTCTCGGTAAGACTATGTTATGTCCTGTGGACTCCGCGTATTCTAAATTCTTTTATAAATAGAGCGAATTGATTTCATGTTGCTCACTATAGTTCAAATGTTATATTCAACGAACATGTTCCGCGACCCTTCGAGCACGATGACGTCACATACTGATTTCTCTTTTTTACTTCCCCCTAGACCGAAGATCTTTAGTTGTTTGTCAGAAAAATCCGCTGAGTCACTTTCCGGACTGACCAGTCGATATCTGATTTTGTTTATCTTCAAAAACTCATAGCTTTCCCACGTCCCTTCACAAAGTATATTACCCAACAACTCTCACTAAACCTAACCTAACGAAACGATACAATCTCTTATTGCTATAGATACCCCATCCTTTACAATAATTATCTTAGAGATACTGCAACGCAACTCTAAAACCCCACCTCCGAAAATGTTATCAACAAAGTCCTATGCCCATATTTGGACATAAACCTTAGAACCCTGACGCAACTTCCAAAACCCTACCCTCTCAACCGAGGTGACGTTTTGAATTAAACGAAAAGGTGAACTCATTCTTCGCCTGATCAGCACCCAAATCCCCAGAGCTACAAGTTCAGTATTCAGTGCGCACACCTTGCATTTTCGCTCGGCTCATTTAATCGCGCTTGCGTCCACCGGACACACCAACTTTACAAGTTCAGACGCCATCCTGAAGCAAAGATTGTCATCCTGACAATCTGAATCAGAAGTCAAGGCCCACTCCAGTTAACTCTTCTTCCGATTCAAGAGTAAATTGCCCCTTTTTGGTTTTCTCGTCCATTGCTTCTTTTCCACTATCTACTACCTTCACTTTTTTCCTCTCTCTCTCTCTCTCTCTCTCTCTCTCTCTCTCTCTCTCTCTCTCTCTCTCTCTCTCTCTCTCTCTCATTTCCTTTTTCTTTCTTTTTTTTCCTCTCGGCTTCTCTCCTTAATTGTAAAACCCGGTTTCAGTGGCTCAACATTTTAAATCTCAGTCTGACATTACCACCGCGGAAATTTGCGCTGATTACGAGGATTTCGAGGTCGTTTCAATAGAATTTGAAAACCAAGACCGCCCAGATTATGTAGGCCGTCATAGCGAACCACTTTCTCGTTCTCCTCTCTTGTTCCTCTCTAAATCTCCCCTTGGAACTCCTCCGATCTCTTACTCTCCGACATCCCTGAGTCCTATAAACAACCGATCCCCTGTAGGCTCTTCTCTCCCTTGGAGTCTTTCTCCAATAGCTTCCCCTGTGAGCTCACCTCTACAAGACGGTACGCGTGGTTTCCACGCAGCCTTACTCCGTGGTCTTATACCCATCTATTCTTCCTCTTCTTCAGAAGCGTCAACACCGTGATCTTCCCCTTCGCCTCGCGCTTCCCTGTTACCGAATCTTCCAGTATCTGAATATCCTTCGGGATAACCGAGAACCGTCGTCCAGACCGCTATCGATATACAGGGTGTCTTAGAACTTTGGGACACGGGCTCCGTAGGGATATAGAGCTAAGTGAGAGGAACAAAAAAGTCCTCTACCATAATATAAAAATCGTAATAGTTTTTTAGTAATAACCACGTAAAGTTTAGCGTTTTCCACGCCCATTGCGGCCTATAGACGCTTCGCGACAAGCTGTATGCGTAGGGGCTGAGCGACGTGGCTCGCGCTGATCATCGCGCGGCGTGAAAGCGCCACGGCGCCATCGCGACAGTCAGCGCGAGACGCGTTATCGCTCAGTTAAAGTTCTGAGTCACCCTGTATATATATATATATTAAAATAACTCACAAATTTCAACGGACAAACTCTTTTGTGAACTTTGGCTTAGATACCAATAAATGACCAATTTGTAGTTATAACGAAATCACAAGTTTCAAATAATTATTTAAAATAAAAAAATCCTTTTCCTCAACTGTCGCTCACGGTCCTATCCCAGGTAAAGAGATTCAGTTCCTTGACCTTAATAAAGGACCATCGACATACGTCCGCGGCAAATAAAGGGGTCATTCCGATTCTTGATTTTGACCAAAAACAAATACGCAAATACGTCGAAGTTTGTGAAAGCAAGCGTCAAGTTACGTTCCTCCTCCAGGCCGTAACAACTATCTACATCCTATTTGAATATCAGGTCTTCCAACTTCAGTTAGCATAGATAGTCAAAACTAGGAGCCGCCTCCAATCCCTCGGGGGCCGCTCCGACCGCCACAGGCTCGGGTCTGGGGAAGGGGGGTACAGGCGTAAGGTTTGCCCCTCACGCGACGGTAAGGGAGGGGAAGGGAAGTAGGTGTCCCGGTTGGGAACAGGCCCCACTCCCCGCCCCCCTCGACATCGAGGGGGGCTAGGAGAGAGGGCGGGTGTCCCCTCTCTCCTGTTAGAAGATCAGGTTGGATAACCTGACCGGGCAACTTGCCCGGTCGGGGCGCCGCGTCCCTTGCTGCATGGAAAAGCATGGCACTTGGGCGAAGGGCTCGATCAGAGCCCCAGGGTCGGGGTGTCAGGGAGGGAATGTCGGCACATGGTTCCCCCGACTCCTTCACTCTAGCCCGCCTGGTAAGCATCCCGGGGGGTTTTAGCCGATATAAGAGTCCGGCATAACCCAAAGGGGCGGGGTAATCCATGAGGATTTCTTCCCTATTAACAAAATAAAAAGATAGTCAAAACTCTTGGTATATCTTTCCCAAGTAGCCCAATTATTATCAAACTGAACAACTGCATTTTGTCGATCCTCGCCTCTCGCTTTCGTCATCTTCAACCTGATGTTGACAAAGTTGTGTTCACTTAATCTAGTTGTGCGAACCTTCCTATTCGATGAACTGGCTCATGATTGAAGAGATAAAGTCTACGTCAATATTTAATAATCCCTATGTCCAATGGATGGATGACTAATCGGCACCGGTAAAGATTTTGCTTCCGCATCTGCAGAGTTCTGAAACATAGCTTTTTATTATTTAATTCGTAGCTTTTTCAGACAAGCGACCATGCATTATCATCCATATTTACAATAAATATCTGCTCTCTCTTCTTTCTCAACGAAACATTTCTCTTTTTATATATGTCTAAGGAATCTCTCCATCTCGTCGCTACATTGGAAGTAATACGATTCGATATAGAAAGAGAAGCCACGTTTACTACAGATATGTCGTACTGAACTGTGAGATCTTATCTGAAAATTAGAATTGTAGACAGTCATTGCTGTCTACAGACAACCGTTCTGATTATAGGTTCTAAATCAATATAAGCATAATTCTCACTGTGTGTGTTTATGAATGATTAATTTTTATAATGATAGAATGTCCAGTTACTTTTAGCTGACGATTTTCATCTATAACTACAGCCAAACGTCGTATATTCGAACACAAATATTCTAACTTTTGTACCGATGCAAATATGAAGCTATCTGCAGTCGATACCGAAGACAGCTTAGAAATATCGGCATCTGATTAAAATGATTGAAGATTTAAAGAGAATTGCAATCATATCTAAATCGGTCTTATCAATCACGAAACTATGTTATTTATTAATTCGTCTTAACCAAAGATTCTCGGCATATACAGGGTGCACGATTTATCTGAAGACATTGAAATATCTCGAGAACTATGCATTGGATAAAAAAAAGTGGTTAATGAAAGTTGTTAGTCTCGAAGGGGGACATCCAATGATATCAAACTCGACCTCCCACCCCACCCCCTGGGGGTCGGGGTTGGGAGCAACTTTGAAATCTTAAATGGAAACTCCCATTTTTTATTGCAGATACGGATTCTACGCCACAAAATACGTAAATTTTGTCCGAAACTTTTTTTTTAATTCGTGATAGATGGCGCTGTAATCGCAAAAAATTATATTTTCCGCTATTCTCCAGAAATGATCATTGGATTGAGAAATAAAAAATACCTGTTCAATATTTTTAAAGAACATAATAAAAGTTATTCCCCCCTCATCCTCTCGGGGTAGGGTGGGTGATAACGTTCAAATCTCAAATGGGGACCCACATTTGGGGACCGCATTGGGACCACATTGCACTGCCTTTTATAATAAGCCGTAGTTCGCCATACACCCACAGTGGCGCGTCGAGCAGTTCCCTTTTCGATTCGGGTTCCCATTTGAGATTTGAACGTTATCACCCACCCTACCCCGAGAGGATGGGGGGGGAATAACTTTTATTATGTTCTTTAAAAATATTGAACAGGTATTTTTTATTTCTCAATCCAATGATCATTTCTGGAGAATAGCGGAAAATATAATTTTTTGCGATTACAGCGCCATCTATCACAAATAAAAAAAAAAGTTTCGGACAAAATTTACGTATTTTGTGGCGTAGAATCCGCATCTGCAATAAAAAATGGGGGTTTCCATTTAAGATTTCAAAGTTGCCCCCAACCCCCACCCGCAGGGGGTGGGGTGGAAGGTCGAGTTTGGTATCATTGGATGTCCCCCTTCGAGACTAACAACTTTCATTAACCACTTTTTTTTATCCAATGCATAGTTCTCGAGATATTTCAATGTCTTCAGATAAATCGTGCACCCTGTATAAGTATTTTATTATATCTAAAACAACGTGGATAGTTTGAAAGTTGGTGATTTGAGATTATGCTGCGACATGTTGTTCGCTACGGACATATCTAGATATAACGTTCGATGGAGCACTTTTGAAAAAGTCACATGAGTCTGTAATCATGCAACAAAACACTGAAAGGTCGCTCAGCTTCCTCATTCGTTGTACATTCTAGCCAGAAGCGTTCAGACGAACACTCTTCTTCTTTACTAAATTGATTAAGAGCTTCATTTGAGTCCTATAAGTATGGTAAAAAGGAAATATAACGACACAGAGTCACTTTTATATTGCAATGTCTAGCGATCCCAAGGAGAGAGCAGAGAAAATCGTTCGCAACTATGCATCTTTAAAATTCTCGCAACCACTCAAACTTAGACACAATATAACTCAACTTAGTTTAAGATTTTGCAATGCCCGCACTGAAAATAGAAAATATATATTAGTAAATCTTCCGTTGCCACTGCTACTGAAGTCGCAAAAATATCGAATCTGATGGGTTTATTAAGAATAATTCTTGTTCTATTTGCATATATCATGGTGTATTATGCAATCATAAAATGAGAAGCGAGCGAACAGGAGATAAAGTGCTTTGTTAAAATATGAAATGTCTTTGAAAAGAAAAATCAATAGGATTGACAGATAAGAATTCTGTCAAGGTTTAGCAAAACTTTTGAATGAATTAAAGATATATTGCCCGCGATCTCCTAAGTACATTTAACCAATATTATGTAGTGTCACTTATGAGTCACTATTATGTCCGTAATAATATTATATGAAATAGGATAAATAAAAGGCAAAGTGGAAGAAAGTAAAAATAAGTAACGCAGCCAGTAGGCACTTTTCACATTCCGACATGTCTTGCCAACTCTCAGCAACTTTTCACATCGTACAAATATACCTTCCGCGCATAATAATTGTTAATATGCCTTCTATGTCCTGACATCAGAATGTCAATTGTTCTGTTTCTCCTAACAATAGATAAAGCTGCCTCTTTTGGTTCTACACTCAACCGCAGATTAAATACATGAGCAGTTTTCCATTTTTTTGGAGCCAGAATCCCATTGGCTTCTGAGAGGATCGTGTGAATTACTAATTTTAATCTTCTTGACGTTGATTAAATCTCATCACAAGACGGCGCATGAAAACCTGTAAAGTACAAAACAAAAGTTCTCTTTAAAAATCTCCCTTAAGACCATTGATGTAAAACTCGAACTGCCTCCTCCCCTAAGCAGCCGCTTTACTACCCTATTGAGTATACGCCACCACAACTTTCGTCTAGTACGAACTAAGCTCTCACTAACATGAGGGAATAATGGGAAAGTTCAGCAGCGCTTGCGGGATGGGCGAAACTACGTAGAACGAGCAGCTTAGCTTAGCAGCGACTTATGTACAAGGAGGCAGAGGCTTCTTTTCCTGCATTTCTATCTCAGAAAAATTCAATTTAACTTAACTTAACCTATACCATTGTATTAGTATACATTGATAAAAAATATATAATGTATACATACGACAATATAAGTTCATATATTGAAGATGTTTTGTCAATGTTGTAACGAGGAGCAAGTATTCCCTTGTCCCAGTTACGACAACAATGTGTCGGCAACAATGACCGGTCGCCGCACGGCCAAAGCTCGCCGCAACCTTCCCTGTACCGCACCGTCCATCAGTGCCGCGGCACTAACAAGGGCTATATAAACCCATGGGGAAACGGATTTCGCCGTACTTGCGCAGGTAAGTAGTACTCATGGAACAATGAAAAACGCTAAATGGATAGAGTACGCTTCTCAAGCGTTTTCGAGAAAAAACGCTTCAAAGTTTTGCGCGGTACATAAGTGCCGCTATAGTAGCGGGGCGACCAAGCAGCGGCGGTGGCAGAACATACTAGGCGAAGCGCTACGGAGCTGCAGGTCGCCTGTTCGTGTCCAGCCTGATTTCCAATTTTTTTTTACTTTTTTTTACAGTAATAAAGTATTGCAGTTAAATATGTAATAATGCGCACGAAATAGGTGGCTTTGTCGGACATTCTGCTTGCAGTATGTTAATAAAAAAAAATATATTTTCGCATGCATATAGGCGGCGCAATTAATTTATACGATATGTACGTAATGTACTAATGTTTCTTTATTTTAAGAGTAAAAAAATACATATAAACTTTAAAGAAATCCATCAATGCAACTAGTTCACGTGTACATTTTAACGTTTTATACCTGCGCCGACCGCAACGGTCGACCCTTGGACAAAATTTGCCATAGGATCAAAGAAACTCTTTGTTCGCTTCGCCTATCCACATGCTTACAATAAGGGAACCGGCTTTTAAGGGTCGGCCGGCGCAGGTATAAAACGTTAAAATGTACACGTGAACTAGTTGCATTGACTGATTTCTTTAAAGTTTGTATATATTTTTTTACTTTTAAAATAAAGAAACATTAGTACATTACGTACATATCGTATAAATTAATTGCGCCGCCTATATGCATGCAAAAATATATTTTTTTTATATTAACATACTGCAAGCAAAATGTCCGACGAAACCACCTATTTCGTGCGCATTATTACATATTTAACTGCAATACTCTATTAGTGCAAAAAAAAGTAAAAAAAATTGGAAATCAGGCGGGACACGAACAGGCGACCCGCAGCTCCGTAGCGCTTCGCCTAGTACGCTCCGCCGCTGCTTGATCGCCCTGCTACTATAGCGGCACTTATGTAGCGCGCAAAACTTTGAAGCGTTTTTTCTCGAAAACGCTTGAGAAGCGCACTCTATCCATTTAGCGTTTTTCATTGTTCCATGAGTACTACTTACCTGCGCAAGTACGGCGAAATCCGTTTCCCCATGGGTTTATATAGCCCTTGTAAGGCGTTAGACGCCGAAATAATACGAGCAATCATCCGCTCGGGAGAAGTCGTGAACGGGGTACGTAAAAGGGGTAATCCTAAATTTCGCATGCGCCGATTTCGCAGAATTCGAAGATAACCCCCCTTATCATTAGAACGTACCCCCGTTCACGCAAATAAAGAGTATACAACCCGCTCTCTCGACGAGATCGGGATACAGTCATCTCGGAGCAAGACAGTATTCGGAACAGAGCTCCTCGAATAGCAGAAGTACCAGCTTAGAAAACCGAGTAGGACCGAAAAGACCAGAGAAACGAGAAGCCAGTTCCGAAAGTACGGCCGGTGAGTAAATTTCCAAATACCGTACCGCATCATCGGGAGAATTTTACAAGACCCGGCGACACGCACTAGACGGACGACTGGCGTCTCACTGATACGATCCGCGTGGATCAGAAATAGTATAAGTTTCTGTTGCGAGAGTCGGCAGCAGTTAGCCACTGTCTCCGCAGATTTCTAAATGCTCGTCCGTCTGCGTCGGCAGCAGTTAGCCGCCACGCAGAATAGAATAAATTTCTGTTGCAAGAGTCGGCAGCAGTTAGCCACCATCTCCGCAAATTTTTAAGTGCTCGTCCGTCTGCGTCGGCAGCAGTTAGCCGCCATGCAGAATAGAATAAGTTTCTGTTGCGAGAGTCGGCAGCAGTTAGCCGCCACGCAGAATAGAATAAGTTTCTGTTGCAAGAGGTCGGCAGCAGTTAGCCACCGTCTCCGCAGATTTCTAAGTGCTCGTCCTTCTGCGTCGGCAGCACTTAGCCGCCACGCAGAAATAGTATAAGTTCTGTTGCAATAGTCAGCAGCAATTAGTTACCGTTCTGCGGGATTGCTAAATATCGTCTCGGCGTTCATTAGTATTGTTGTATCCGACCCACAAGGTTTGTGGCAGCGTCCGTTGTCCGCGAGCCTTAGGCATCTGATGCTGATTTTGGCATCTGAGCGAGGATTGTCCTGACGACGGAAAATCGATAAGAAGTAAACAACAAGAACAGCTGACAGAGAGTCTCTGGCAAGCTGTCATCGAAGATAGACGCGAGAATTCAGAATTATTAAAATAGAGAATTATTCTTGTTTAAAGCGTGAGCGAGTTGTGCTGTAAATATTAAAGCTTCTTAGTCGTT